GTTATCATGACACTGAAACTGACCAGTGTGCCAATCCCTATCTAATGCCTCGGAGTAAAATTCTGGGAGTGGATCACAGATTTGATGAAGAACATTTTGAAAAAAAAGAGCTTTATTTAATGCTTATGATTTTATACATTTATTTATATTAAAAAATTTTTTGTTTGCCTATCCTTTCATTTATTGATTTTTTGATTTGTTTAATCAAAGGACTTTATATAAATTATGTCTGTTTAATCAATAAGCCAAAACTAGAAATCATTATAATATACCGGAAAAATCTTTCAATGAAACAATTACTACAATTCCTCATTTTAACACTATTCTTTCTATATATTCTTTTTTTTCTTCATAAACTAAATTTCAAAAAATCACAATCATACATTATTTGAATGTTTTCAGAACGTTTTGAAAATAACAGCAGCAATGAAAATGAAGTCTTTGAAAAAAAAAGAAAACACATTAAATTGAATGTTCTAAGATCATTCTCACAACATACTCTTAAAGTTACTAAATGAATTAAATTGTGCCGCAATTACATAAATGTTTCAGAAACATTTTGAAAATGTTTCCAAAAAATGTTACAAAAACTATAATTAAAATGTTTCAATTGTAGTGAAAATAATTATTTTAGTTAATGTTTTAAATAAACATTTTCACTGCCTAGGCCGAAAAATATCCGGAATTGAATGTTTTTAACTAACAGCGATATTAAGAATGTTTTAAAAATATTTTTAAAATGTTCCTTACAAATGTTTCAGAAACGTATATGCATTGTTTCCGATTTACAGAAAAAGAATGTTTCATTTCATGTTTTAAGAACGTTTTTAAAACGTTTTGTAAGATCTTTAATATTTGGAAGCTATAAATACCCTTAAATGAATTAAGAATGTTTCAAAAACATTTTGACAATGTTCCTTCCAAATGTTTCAGAAACGTATTCATGCAATGTTTCAGATTTATGGAAAAGGAATGTTTCATTTCATGTTTTTAGAACATTTTTAAAACATAATATAAAAATCTTTGATATTTGAAAGCTAAACATACCTTTTGAAACATTTTTAAAACGTTTCAAAAATATTTTAGAAAAATGTTCCAAAAGGATTTAATCATAAGCTTCTTGAAAACATTTTTAAAATGTTTTTGAAATGTTATAATGAGAAGAGGAAATGTTTTAAAAACATTTTTAAAATGTTTAGTCTGAAATGTTTCGAAAAAACCTTTTTACAACACCAATAAAATGTTTTGAAAATGTTTTGTGCTACCTGGGTATGGCCTTTACGTAACAGAATCGATATTGGAAATCTGAAACAAGAGGCCGACGGGCCTTGTAGGTCACCTGATTATCATGTAACAACTTTCCAACAATTAAATTTGGTTCGTATTTTAATCCAAAAGACATGAAATTAACAATTTTGAAAGAGGCACAATTGTTTATCGTAACTTTACACTTAGCATGCTTACTTTTGTTACTTAAGCAGATCAGAGTAACAAAGAGAAAATGCATTTCAACTTTATAACAGGAACCACTGACCCTGGGCCCAAATTTCAAAATTTTATCATTAATTTTATTTCATCATAAATGGTTGATTAATAGCAAAGAGCAGATTTCGAAGCACTACTTTATTTTCATACAACCCCCTCCCCCCGGCAGTACCCCAAACCCAAGGGCCCTTAAATGAACCATTTTGGCAGAGGTACCTTTCTTTATCATAAATATACCTAGATAAATTGGCTTACATGTAATACCCAGGAGCAGAAGAAAATTTCCATAGAATTCATGCATTATAATCATTAGATTAACACCAGACCCCTGACCCTGGGGCCATGATATTCACAATTTTGGAGAAAGCAGCTTTGTTAAACATAAATTTGTACTCGGTTAGTTTATTTAATACCCAGGAGCAGACTAGAAGATTTTTAAAAAGAATTAATGCATTTTTCACTATATTATGAATAGATCCTCGCCCTAACACCTGAAATCCTGACCCAGTGGTCATGAAACTCTAAATTGAGAAGAAGCATCTTTCCTCATTATACATGTAACTATGTACCAAGTTCTTTGGTTATATGTCAAAAAGCAGAGACGATTTGAAAGGGTTTTGCATTTTCACTATGTAATCAATAGAGCCCCGTCAAAACACCAGAACCCCTGAACCTGGGGCCATGAAATCACAATTCTGAAAGAGGTAACCTTATTAAATATAAGGACCCCTGACCCTGGGGCCATGAAATTACAATTCTGAAAGAGGTAGCATTACTCAATATAACAATGCACTTGGTTAGTTTATTTAATACCCAGGAGAAGAGAAGGAGATTTTTAAAGAATTAATGCATTTTTCACTATATAATCAATAGAGACCCACCCACACCAGAACCCCTGACCCAGGGGCCATGAAATTCACAATTTAAAACAGGCACTCGTACACATCATTACTATGTACTAGGTTAGTTTATTTAATACTCAGGAGCAGAAAAAGAGATTTTCAAAGAAATAATGCATTTTTAGTATATAATCAATAAAAGCCCCGCCCTTACACAAGAACCCCTGACCCAGGGGCCATGAAATTCACAATTTAAAAGAGGCACTCTTACTCATCATTACTATGTACTAAGTTAGTTTATTTAATACTCAGGAGCAGAAAAGAAGATTTTCAAAGAATTAATGCATTTTTAGTATATAATCAATAGAGCCCCGCCCTTACACCAGAACCCCTGACCCTAGGACCTACATGTAAAGTTCACAATTTTGGTAGATGCACTCTTGCTCATCATTACTAGGTACTTAGTTAATTTGATACCCAGGAGCAGAGACGAAGGATTTCAAAGAAATAATGCATTTTAACTATATAATCAATAGAGCCCCGCCCTAGCACTAGAACCCCTGACCCTGGGGCCATGAATTTCACAATTTTGGTAGGACTCAATGCTGATAACAATCATACCAACAGTTTGACTTCTTGATGTCCATGAGTAAAGAAGAAGATTTTTAAAAATTCCACTAATTTTAGTGGTTTTGACCCCCCCCCCCCCGGCCCGAGGGGGGCAGGGACTATGAAATTCACAATTTTTGTTCCCCTTCACCCATAGATGCGATAGGCCAAAATTGTTGAAATTGGTTCAGCGGTTTCAGAGAAAAGGCTGAAAATGTTCAAATGTTAACTCACGACGACGGACGAAAACGGATAGATATGGGTCACCTGTGTTGACCTAAAAAGAGGGCAAATATGTACTTTATTGATACACATTTCAGGATGTGAAGCACGGACATGTACCGATCGCGAATTAAGGAATTGCATGCCAGCATATCCTTGGTTGCTTTTTCAGCCCCCTCGAATGACATGCAGGTATGTTTTCTCTGAAGGAAACCATATTAACAATTGAAACAATGCCTTATTATCTTATTTCAAATATTCCCTCTGGAAACAAATATTTGTAGATAGTAATACGAGATCATTCGGTATCAGTGATAAGAAAAGTATGTCCGATCAACATAATAAAGACCATGTTGTTTGCAAGACGTCAAACATGGTTTCCCGGGATTAAACAGAAACCTATTAAGGTCAGACGACACGTTCCTCAAATACATGTTTTGTATCTCTTGGTATTATATCAAGTTTTTTCATATTTGTCATTCTTTTCTGATTTCCACATTGTTTTTAAAATGTTTTTAAATATAGGTACACCAAAATTTGTGTTAATAGTGTTATAGGCAATTTAGAAGATTACCCATTAGGGTTATATAAGAAATATGACCCTATGGTATCTTGGCAAAATGCCTGGTAAGGTACCCTAACTTTTTGAGAAGAAAACTTGTTCAAGTATCTATACTTCAATGACGAATTCTGAGGAAAATTTATATATTTTTGAGGAAAGTGTCGTCTGACCTTAATGGTAAGGTTAATGTTTCTAGACATATGTTGTCCGCACAAAAAAGGGAGGCTGTTTTAAAATAACATCCTTGATGATAATTAATGAAACATATATGGAGATAACGAACAGTATTTCAGATTAAAAATCCATAAAACAAAACAAAATAAGAGCAGAGCAAACACAGTCCTTCAAAACAGAGGTGGGATCAGGCGCCAAGGAAGAGTGACCAACCTCTGCCGACCTGTCACAAACACCGTGTGCTCCTTGCCATGACCGGGAAAAAACGGAAAAATCCGTTGTCAATTTAGTGTATAAATTATGGACTAACAATTAGTAAGAAAAACGTCAGTAAGCACTTCAGACAAGGTGATTGTATCGACTAAACAACTGTAGATTCCTTATTTTTCGCGAGTACCTTTTATCGCGAATGGGATTTTCAAATTCAAAGCGCGAGAAGAATAATTCGCGAACGGACGTTTGATCAAGAGCTTTGACAGATTTCACAACCATAAAAATAAAAATGAGTATTTTTTTCGCGATTGGTGCGCCAAATTATCCGATAATTTTTTCCACGCGTATATTTAGGAATATACAGTATTGGCCATTTACTAAGTCAAGGTAACAAGTAATGCCTACCTTAAACTCCCAACTCTCAATTCAAATTCTACCGTGGTCAACTACCGTATAGCGGATTTTAGCGGGGTGCTTAATTTTGGCGTTTTGATGAAAGCCCGCTAAAATCTCCCCTTGGAAAAGGGCGTAGCCCTTTATTTGAACAAACTTGAATCCCCTTCACCCAAGGATACTTTGTGCCAAGTTTGATTGAAATTAGCCCAGCGGTTCTTGAGAAGAAGTCGAAAATGTGAAAAGTTTACGACGACGACAACAACGACAACGACAACGACGACGACAACGACAGACAACGGACAAAATTTGATCAGAAAAGCTCACTTGAGCCTTCGGCTCAGGTGAGCTAAAAATATAAATTGATAGACCGGAGAGCTGCAGTGCCACCCATTGAAAAAACTGTATATTTATTGTGACAAAAAAGTGCTCTCGGTTCTTGATTAATCAGCTAATAAAGAAGATGCAGTTTAAATTAACGATCATAAAAGATTCAACATAGAAAATAAAATTGTAAAATCAAATTTTCCTGTGCGTCAAATTTTTGAGGAAAGAATATGTGTGAAAAATCGTGTATATGTTAAGTATAAACATGCCAAAAAGTTCTTTTATATTTAGGTGATCATCAGAAATACCCATGTGATGTATCAGACTCTGCCTCTGTCAATGATCTAGTAAGTAAGATTAGGGAGAGGTATTCATCAGCACCACATGTAGCTGTGAACTCTGCTGGCATCACTCGAGACAGGACAATGATGAAACTCACAGAGGAGGACTTTGACAAAGTAATAGATGTTAATCTCAAGGTAAGTCAAAAAGCATTGATTAACACAAAGTTCATTCTACAGGTACATACATTTATTTTTCTTGAAATTAAAGTGTTCTTGGTCTGTCTTGCAAAAAATCACCAAATATATGATAAAAGTCATTTAAATTTATTTTTCAATTTAAACTTTACATTTATCTTTTATTACCACCACCCCAAATAAGTATAGATATGTCTTATTTTGCAGGGAACTTGGTTGTTAAACAGGGCAGTAGGAAAGGCAATGTTGGCTGACAAGGTTCCTGGCTCCATTGTCAACATATCAAGTCTTGTGGGAAAGGTAAAGTTAAGCCACTTGTCATAACTGTAACAGCAGACAAATCTGCCTCATGTGTGGCTCCAATACATATGTATTAGGACCTGGGTGTATTCTAGTGGGTGAAACAAATTACCTCCAGAAATTTACCCCCAGGTGTTTCCCCTCAAAATTAAAAGTGGACAATGTGGGATAGTGTAATATGATAATGGTACTCAATTCCCTACTAGATAATCTCTTTAGTTTGATTGATAGAGCAAATGTCTGGCATGCTTGAGGCCAGGGGTTTAAATCCAAGCAGATCGAGACACAGACTTGTCTCTCTTACATGAATACTGTATGTGTTCATTATTTGGCATATTAAAAATTTAGCATAATTACTGGGTATGGAGTTGTTGGCGTAAATCATGAATTAGCACTACACATGTCCGTTCAGTGTATTGTATACTGTAAATCACTTTTTATTCGCGAGAACTTTATTTTCGCGTAAATACGCGAGGCAGTTTGCTCGCGAAAACTAAAGTCTCGCGTACAATAGTATTCCTTAAGATTATATAGAGCAATAACCACAATTCGTGAAAATTTTGTCTCGCTAATCAAGAGTCAATGACTATCTCGCGAAAATAAGATTTCGCGAAAATTTAGTGATCTACAGTATGTAAATGACTTTTTAATAGTGGTATTCATAAATTAGCGCATTGTTGTCTGCGCCAAAGCCGCTAAAATATGAAGCCCACTTTTTAAAGTACCGGTACACATACAGTATTACTTAAATAGAAATGCAGTTACATAACAAATGATACTGACATCTTGGTGGTTTATTTTATTGAATTACTGCTTTACAAATACAGAACTAATGACAGAGCACCCTGCACTTGACTGAGGTGAAAAAATCAGGTATAATAAAAATCAAGATATGATTTTTCTTGACATCCTATCACAATATCAAAATTATTAAAGATGAATTATTGACATGGCATATTATTGGTAAATTCTTAAACACATATTCTTTTGGTGACCTGATTATTATCATCATGTACCCTTGGTCTTGATATTGATAAAAAAATAGACTTTTTATCATGACTATTGTCTTTGAATTTCATGCATAAATGTGTAGTTATGTGTTCCTTTTGACCTAAGTATATATTTATCTGGAATTCATTAAAACGGATTTTTCGTAATATACAATTTTGCCATTTTACTCTACTGTCCCCCTCCCCCTCATAGTTATGATAATATAATGTTAAACTTAATTTAGACAGGAAATATAGGACAAACCAATTATGCTGCCTCAAAAGCTGGAGTGATAGGCCTCACAAAATCCATGGCCAAAGAAATGGGAAAGTAAGCATTTAGTTATAACTCTAGAAAACGAATAACACATGTTTTTTACATGAGCAATGAGTATTTGCTAAACTTCTGATATATATCAGCTAGCTGATAAAGATATATTTCTTTTATAGTACATGTATTTGACATTCCCAAGAATTATCTTCAAATAATAACTTTACAGTTTTGGAGAAAGGTATTTATGTGCTTATTTGTAAACACTAAAAGAAGTATATATTTAGAATGTTTTGGCTTTCCATTTACAGGTTTAACATTAGAGTGAATGCTGTTTTACCTGGGTTTATCGAGACCCCTATGACTGATGTTGTCCCAGAACATCTCATACAAATGACCAAAATGTTGATTCCACTTGGGCGCCTTGGTAACCCAGAAGGTATAAAAATATAGTCCACTGGACTTTTGGGGCTTTTTACAGTAGTTTATATGGATGCTTGATCAATATTTTGTCTAATTTGGGGAAAAAATTAAGGTAAACATATTAGCAGGGAAAGTTTCATATCTTTTGGAAGATGTACTTCAAAATTTTGATGGGTTGCAAGTTAAGATACAAGTACCCGGTATGTTGAAAAATCAGTGTTGTAATTTCAATAACGCAAATAAATGTGGATATTATTTATTGTATGAGTTGCACCTTTAATTTTTGTGACTTTCTTTTGTAGAAATAGCAAATACTTGTGCCTTCTTAGCGTCTGACAAGAGTAGTTATATAACTGGTGCAACAATTGAAGTTACGGGTATGAATTAAAAATATCCACTGACAAAATAATTTGATATACAGTGTACAAGAATTTTCTACCTTAACTGTCTACAAATATTAAAAGATTATAACTTTATTAGAATATGCAGCTACTTATTCATGTAATTATCTTTAATATTAAATGATTTTGTCAATCCTAATATTAATTTTCTTTCCATTTGTAGGTGGCCTATTCATGTAATTAGGAGTAAGAACTGCTGTTTTGTAATTAGATGTGATTGTCTCAATTTGTCTGTGATAAAAAAAAAATTGCCAGAATTAGATACAGGAACAGTGAACTAGGGTGATACAAGTACATTTGTGACACTATGCAGAGTACATGTAAATTAACTGCTATTCAGAGAGGACTAGTTCTGCCTGATGATACACTTCCTTTGAAGCAGTTGACTGTTAGTCAAGCTGGGGGTGGTCTTGTACTGGGATGCTGCTGTAGGAAGTGGGAATCCTTATCTCTGCCAGGAGTTTGATGGAGGAATAGGGATTGGGGTCCTTCTTGGCAGGCTTCTTTGTAACTGTGAAGAGAGAAAATACATGTTTGAGTAATTTTACTGAAGATACATGAATATAGGACACATGATTGTGGATCAATACTATTTCTTACTATGTACATGTATTAGGTTTCTTACCAACTGTCCACAGAAATATGCTGGGATGTTCAGGTGTATGGCATGTGAGGTGAAACGTTTTGGCTCTCTCTTATGGACTTAAAAACAAATTGTCTTTCTTTTGAGAAACAAAATTGTAAATTTACATCGAATTTAAATTTTGTTGAGGAGCAATAGCAGTTATATTTAACAGTATCAAGGAAAATGTATTAAGGATACAAACTAATTTTATTTCACTGGTTTTGACATCTAGTATCAAACAAACATATTCTGGCTACAGCTGATAATCAAAAGAGTATGAATCATTAAAGTATTTGTTATGAAAAACATATACCCAATTTTCAAAAGAGTTTGTACTTGTGAAATTAAGGAATAAATAAGGTGGGTGCTAGCTGTTGATATCAAAAGAGTCGTTTTATCAAAAATCAGTTAATCAAAAGTTATGTTTATAAAAATAGTAATCTTAAAGTAGAATGCAAATTTAAAGGCATCGGCTGGAAAAAATAACATATCATTGTTTTGATATTTTTGTTAAATATTCAGATCATAAATTTTTATAACCACAAAAATTGTTTTTTAATTTAATTCTCTAAGGCAAAAAAAAATTAATTTCTTGGTTCTCAGGCCCTCCCTCATCTCTTCCAAGGGCGCCTCATTGACCCTTTTTATTGCTAAATCAATAAAATAAAAACAACAAATCACCTCCCTCATCATTTTTTGAGGTTTTGTACAATGTAAAAAGCTGCCTCATCATGTTTTGGGGGCAATAAAAAAGTAAAAAAAAAAAATACCTTCCTCCCTCATCATATTTCTTGAAAAAAAGGCCTGATAACCAAGGAATTAATTTTGCATGGCCTAAGCGACGGATACAACTATCTTAAATAGAATCTTGTTAAATCAATATATATCTTACTACATCCCAGTTGTTTAAACGTCCTGATCTTATACGATGCCAGATTTTTAATCCTCCTATATTCTGGGGTGTTTGGTTTTGTAGTACAATCTGTAAAGACTTTATTTATACAGGAGACGCTAGTCGTGGTACCGCTGAAAGGAAATATCAGACATATGAGTATATACGTTTTATATATAAATAGAGGGTTAGAGAGAGAAAGAGGGAGAGAATCTCCACCCCCACCCCCCGAAAAAAATATTTCAATCAGTTTGAAATAAAAAAAAAAAAAATAGATATAAGCCTGCATTGAAATAATTATCAAATATTGGAAGTTTTTCATTTTAATATGTCGGATGTTTTACCTGCTTGCCTAACCAAGGAAAAAATAAACAATTAGTGTGCTATGCTTGTATACAGTAAGCTTTAATTTTGACAGAATTAGCTCATGATGCAATTGTTTCATATGTTTATGTAATGGAAAAGTGCGAATTAAAACAATTGAATGCCTTTATTGACAGGCATTGGAAATAGAAAAATACTGACCTAAACAATAAGCTCATAAAACATAATTTCCTTTTTTCATAATTTCTTTCATCAGATAAAAAAGATAAGGAGGTCGCAGGGGCATTTAAAATTCAAACATATATTAACGGCAACATGATTGATTGGATTTAGCACATGTTCTAATATTTTTTTTTTTTTTCAATTTGACGGCGAATTTTTCTTTTTTTTTATTTCCTGCAATCAACCTTTCGCTACTCTATTGTATTGTTAGAATGTTATTTAATTGGAAAATCAATTTGTGTGTCAGATATCTGCCTGGGTTTAGCTACATGTACATGTATACCATCCAAAGTTATCTCAATCGGAAATAAGTTTTGCTGATGTGATTTTCTTTCTGTCTATTCTGGTCATTATTTAAATAAAGGACTTTAAAAATCCTGGTTTTTGAGTCTCGGGAATTCACATTACGGAGTCGAACTAGTTATTAATATATCCTCTAAAATAAAGTGAAAAAGTCCTTGGTCTTAAAAATATACAAGAGGAATAAACAGAATAATGTTATTTGTTACTTTTTTTCAATTTAATAAGATTTGCAGATACTGACAAACAAGTTCATCATAAAAGAATATCAAGTGTCTCTTTTCGTACTCATTATTCCGTACGTTGTATGGTGCATACAAAGATCTTGTCAGCAAATACATTTTATTCAAAGTCATATGCTGATCAGCGATTTTAAAACAACTGTTTGAATGATTATAGTTTTCACACGACTAAAATGTCATTTTGTTTTCTCTTTATAACCCGATCATGACAGGGAGCACAAGGCGGGTGTGACCGGTCGGCAGGGAATGCTCACTTCTCCATCCCCATGGCACCTGTAGCCACCTCTTATGTTCTGTGTTTCCTTTCCTCCAAAAGTGTATTGTTTAATGGATTTGGACTTATGAGCTTGAATACTGTTCCTTATCTTCATATATTTCATGCAATCAAAGAAAAACTTTATAGAGAATTTTACAGACAATTAAAAATTTCTATAGAAACACCGCTCATAGGATAAAAAACGACTAGGCTTTTGGTTTCTCATATAAAGTAGCCTGTTCGATCAGCGCAGTGGTAAGATTGCTTGTTTGTATGTTGTTTAACGTCTCTAGAATTTTCGCTAATATGGAGACACAATAGTAAGAATGTTTGCACTAAATCTCAAAATAACGAGTTGTTGCTTACATTTGAATCCCAGTTGAGTAGGTGGAGACCTGTTCTTCGGATGAGTCTGTATAAACCGAGGTACCGTACCGTGTCGCAGACGGTGCTGGCACGAAAATCAGTTACTCTAGCCGCGCTTGATTTGTCTGCACCTTACTTCACCCGGTGTATACGATTTACACTTCATAATCAAGTGAAATTAGGTGTAATGTGGCAAATTCAACATGGACGTCAAAATTTCAACAAACTGAGGGGGCCTATTTGCAGACGATTTTTTAAATAAAATATTTGTTGCGATTGTTAACATTCTGTTAAAATTCCTTTAAAAACAAAACATTTTACAAAATGCAAAGAATTTTTTATTAAACATTTTCCTAGCTGCCCATAATTTCCCCTATAACTAAATATCCACCACAGTCCAATATATCTAGAACTTGCAAAATTTGCTTAATTTCTTATTTTACAAATTATGAAGTTCTTCATGTTCCATGAAATGCACAAAACATGGTCCACTATATTACTAAAAACAATTCATCACAATAAACCTATCAAATACTTGACAGTAAACTCAAATACAGAAAAAGAAATTCTGCAGTTTTACCGTTCTGTCATTTGTCAGCCATATTGAATTTTCGGTGTAATTACCTACACATGCCCTGCACAGGGTGTAGAAGGTGTACACCAAAAGTGTTCACTTTTGCACTTGATTATGAAAAAGTGTACACCGGGTGTAAGGTGTAGACAAATCAAGCGCGCCCTCTGAGTGCTGAGCATTCGTTAAAATTTGCAGCTCTCTGGCAGGTGGGGGCCTCAACATACGAGGGCAGAGAAGGACGTTAAAGAAAAAAAACCATGAAGGTAAAAGACAGACGACGGACACACTGTAGCAGAATTGGGGAGATATTTGTCCAGTTTGCTAGAAACGAGAACAAATTCATGAGCGAAAAAAAAACGGTAAGATAAGAAAACCTGCAAACTTGTATTGTCTGGGCAAATCCTACTCTAGTCATGCGATAGATTTCACCACAACTTGTTAAACTTTGACCAGAACAGACCTGCTGCCCATTACAACCTAAATAAAAAAAAAATATATCACATGAAATATATATCAACTAGTGATCAGTTTGACTATTTCATACATAAATATTACATATAAAATGATTCATATGTAATGATAAATTAAATAGTGAGAACTATTTAAACAGTGATTTCAGATGAGAAAATCATTTTGCCTACGTACCCTTTTGGGTGATGACAAAAGCCACACAAATTATAAATATTGTGGTTGAAAGCTTGTCCATGATTTTCTCCATTGTCTAGGAAAAAGATATTGAATTTGAAATTGTAAACAAGGGTCAATGGGCAATATTGCTCACCTAAAAATCGTTGCCTAGAAAAACACTTTAAGTAAGCATTTTTAAAAAAAAGTATGGCTGTAGGCGAAAGAGAAACATGTATTCACACTGTTCTTAAAAATGTTTGATCTACCGTAGCGAGGATAAATTGTGGATTTGCAATTCTAAGGAAGATCTTTTTTCCAGTTTATACAATGAATTCTTGAGTTAAACTTTGATAATTACATGTATATTTAATTTTGGCCCATCCCTTTAATTGGAGTCAACATTTTAACAATTTTTGATGAAAACTGCCTGGAATGCCTTCAAATGATGACTATCACATTTTCCCCATAAATTTCCATTTAAAATCTTACTCTCATATTGTTTCATCAAACTTCCCCAAATTTTCTTGAGAATATGATTTTTAGATGATCCTAAGAATGTTCATTTTTTTCTTGATTATCTCCCTTTGGAAGATTGTGTAATCCTTGACGTGAATGCCCTCTATCAAAGATTACTTAAACTCGAATTTTGATCAAGCTTTCCCGGTCGTTCTGTAGAAAATGTAAATGTAAAGCGACGATGTAGACATGATCGAAAACGACAACTTTCAACGGACTAAAAAGATCTTTTTTTTTCTCCGGATAAGATGAATTTTAAAAATAAAGCAATCGTATCTTAAAGTTTTATATCTCTTTTAATACTGATATGTACAGGAAATGGTTTGAACACATGCCTATTGGAGAAATAATAAAATTTAAATTTACTTTCGACTTAAATTTGACTTTCAAACGATTCCTACTTGTGTACAATTAAATTAAAGTCAGTGCAAATCCTCACATGCCATTTTGTATCTCTTTACTTTTTATTAGCTTGCATTTGCAATGCCAAACACATGTATTCTTTAAATTATTAGAATAGTCTTCAACTAAATATTTTCTTTACATTTTAATCACTTTACTCTTTCTAATTTGAAAATTTTATATAATCAGAAATTCGGAATTGTGGAGTTCATCACTGACTTATTTATGAAGTCTTCGAAAACTAGATTTTCCGAACTGTTCGAATTCTGATTGGTTATTGTACTCCTTTACAAGTTAAATAGTTTTAACAGTATAGAATTCATTTAAAAACTTTTAACTTCATAAGATGAAAATAAAATAAAACAATTGTTGAGAACTTCAAATGGATATTGAGATATCGTCCGGATTTATCAAATTAAACATAGATATGAGAAATAACAGTGTCTGTAACATGTATTTAAAAGTTTGATGTTTACATACTGTAGACGTACTTTTTTCCACGGGGTCATAATTCCGCGGAATCTTAATTTCTGTTTAATCCGCAGGCAGAAAATTACGCGGATTTTCTATACTGTCACTATATGCCTTATACATTTTCATTAAGTCCGCTTGGACAAAGCGTAAATTAATACCACGCGGAAAAAGGTACTTCTACAGTATATGTAAGCTTTTACACTGTTAGGTTATCTTTTTAGCTATCACCTGCATGTGATACTTATATAGTCAATATTGGCTTTAACAAAGAAACATCAGTATTCCCTATTAATTTTAAGAAACAAAAGAGACACAAAGTAGTCCCTTTTTTCATTGAATAAGAATAAAGAACAAAAAAAAAAATATCCACATACCTTAATAACCGCATACGAAATGTAGCATTCGGAACCTGTGTAACGATGCTAAGAGCAATATTTATACCATTTTCTTCTTTATATACACGGTGCAAAAGTGTACTTCATTGATTATAAAGAGATATAAAACTGTATTTTAGGAATTTTTTTTTATTGCTTTTTCAAATTATGTTTAATATTAGTAATAAAACCTGATAATATTTACATATGAAAATGTATATTAGCATAATTTAAAATTATCATCAATTAAATAGATGCCAACTTCGAGCAATTTAGGACGTAACTCGTTTTAATATTTCTAAAATCTGAACATATGAAAAGAAATGAAATGTCTCGTTAAACACAACATGAAAAGGAAAGAAAACCCCCTGCATCTAATAAACTTATATAAATGTCCTTACGTTTATATCGATAACATTTTGTTTTGTACATTAGAAAAGTACAAACTTTTGCATAGTGCACACAACTTACTGTCGAATTTAAAAAAAATGATTGTATTCTTTACACTATCAACACTTATTTTTAAATTCATGAAGTCATTTTGGTCAAAAAATCCTTATATGTGTCTCCACAAGTTCCTTTTTTCTTAAAAGATTTTTCTTATATTTTAGTACATATTCCAAAACAAAAAGGGAAAACAAAATTCCTTTTTTTATACACTTCAGTCTTAAAATGCATATTGTTATTTCCAGAGATTTGAGGAACGTTCCTCTTTATACACTTCTGGTGCATTTGTTATCACCAAACATTTGAGGAACGTTTCATTCTACTCTTCTGGTCTTTGTTATCTCCAAACATTTGAGGAACGTTCCTCTCACTCTATCTCTCTGAACTTCAGATTCATTTAGAATGACCAGAGATTTGAGGAACGTTCCTCTCTCTGAACTTCAGATGCATTTGTTATAACCAGACATTTGAGGAACGTTCCTCTCTCTAAACTAAGATGAAGTTATTATCACCAGACATTTGAGTAATGTTCCTCTCTTACATGTGCACATACAGCGTGTATTTTTAAATACTTTAAGAATCTTAACACATGAGACATTTGAGGAACGTTCCTCTCTCAAATTCACTTGTTCTGAAGACATCTCATGAATGGTCAAACATCAGACATTTGAGGAACGTTCCTCGCTCAAATTTAATTATTACTGTAGGCATCTCAAGGATTGTCAAATATCAGGCATTTGAGGAACGTTCCTCTCACAAATGGTTGTCTCATGAATTGTCAAACATTAGGCATTTCAGGAACGTTCCTCACTAAAATTTAACATTGTTCACACAGGATACTTACATGTATGAGAAACGTTCCTCTCTCAGATTTGTATATGTTGATACCTTATTCATATTAAATCAGGCATTTGAGGAACGTTCCTCTCACAAATGGTTGTATTTCTGTTGATTACTTATACCTCATGAAGCTTGCAACCCGTGCATTTGAGGAACGTTCCTCTGTCTTGTAATGAATATCTGTTGATACATTGCAAAGCCCACTTAAAAATAACTTTAAAGGAACGTTCCTCTCTAACATTATCATGTGTTTTTTGATATTATATTAGTTTTTATCGTACATGAAGAATTTGGGAAACATTTCTCTCTTTTATATGAAATGCAGTACATATTCATAGAAACATTTTTTATCTGTACACACTCTACAAAATATATATGAAAAATCATTTTGTCATTTTATAAAGTACTTTTTGAATTAAGGCTTTCTTAAAGCATAATATAAACTAGGTACAGGAACAAACAAATTTTTCACTTCGATCGGAACAAGCATATGCAATGTGCAGTGTTCATGTATCAACTCAAAGGGCTTTTTCACTGAATGGCAGTGTGATCACATATTACAATGTCTTGGTTAACAGGTTAATACCCACAGTATTTTTCCTTTCTACCACGAAATTAAACCAAAGTTGTGATGAAGGTCAACCATGTTTCTTTCTCGTTTACATCTTTCCCTCATAATAGAGACAATTCCAATTTCTTGGTCTCCAAAGGTTCATAGCATTTTTTCATCAGTCACAGTAAAACAGCCTCAACAAGTTTCTTGGGTGTCATCTTCTGTAGGAAAAATCTCACATTCAGTACAGCGGCATGTCGTATTATCAAAGATGTGATTCAGGCAAAGTTAGAATAATCGAAACAATGTGTACATAATAACAAGTTTTGATGTCTCATCTAAAAATTAAATAGACTGGAAAAATCGATATAAAAAAATTGCAAAACTTAAATTAAAATTTTGAACTTTAAATTGCCCATGAATTATGAAAGCATTTCCATACTGTATTAAGAATATTGCAAAATTGACACTTTCTATCTTTCTCATACTATTTTAATGAAATACTGTAAATGTTTTATATTTAGAGTGTACTATATTTGGCGGAAGTTGATATTTTAATAAGTTAGCGTAGGTATGATTTAGCGCATTTTAATGTTTTATGTTTAAGTCATTTAGTGTTGTACTTAAATTAGCGGATGTTTCTTTCCGCCAAAAAGCTAAAAAGAATACACCGCCAAATGTTACACGTTTACAGTAATAACTCTGATTTGCAAATTATGTCTGAGAAAAATCATTCTCCTTTATATCTTGCATGTAACACTAATTTAAAAACTAAGTGACAATTGGAAATGTAAATTATAATAATATATAGGTCTTAAGCCCCATACTCCTCCAATGAACATTTTATATACATGTATGATAATATAAGTCATCAATTTTTTTTAATTTATTTCTTTTTTTCCATAGTGCATGCAGGTGTCATATAATATTTCATGGGTTTTATTAATGTATTCTTTAATTTACACGAACCTATTTTCATTCTGAATCTCAATTTGTATTATATTGTAGTACTATTGTGTATTTCTTAAAACTGAAGAATTGATTCTATAATAGGGATTTGTCTAGTAACCCTAATTCCTGCATCATTCTCTACTTTAAAGATAAAGACTTTGAGACCTTGATGTCTTCCTGGCCCCAGCTCACATTGTAATTGTTATTAATCACTGCCAATCATATATGCTCATGGAACACTAGCTATAGGCGATCAGCTCTGGCAACTATCTGTCCCCTGTGACTTCATGGACAGTAAAGATCAGTGCTGATGCTATGATGACTTGATCGTGTTATAGATAAACATGTCTCTGCAGTCAGAAGATTGAAGCAATTTACATTGTAGAACAGAACTCAAACAGTGAGAGAATTAAGATCTTGTTAGAGTTTTAAATTTTACTCCTTAAAATTTGGATAGTTAACTGTTTCAATATATTTAAAAAACAAAAAATGTAATGAAATTTATATACACTGTAAAACTTTACTAATTATTCTGGTTCGGGAATAGCAAATCTCATGCTGAAATCTGGTTTGTACATATTAAATGCAAAGAAACATTCCACAGAATTATTTTGTAAAAAAAAAAAAAATAATAATAATAATAATGTGAAAACAACATCTCCTGCACTTAATTGTCAGATCTTAAGGAAGCAGGAATAAGAATCGATATTTCCAAAAAAAGCCCTTAAAAATGTTTTATTTATTTAGAATATTTTATTAAATTATTAGCACGTGTATTAAAAGAAATGTTGTACTGAGTAATACAGTTCTACATTTTTTTTTATTTTTATTGATTGGCAATTGCTCATCTTCCTTCCCGCTTTTCAAAGTTAGATACTTTGATAATGAAACTATCTTTGATTTAAATGTTAATTTCAGAAACATGCACTCTGAATTTCACAGATTTCCTATATCTTGGATTGCAGTGTGGGTCATTTGGGATTTAATAATTTAGCCAGCTGCAGCAAGGTCAAAAGTCTATGTTATCTGTAAAACTTGAGGTCAATTTATATAACCCCGGTCTTATCTGCTTTCATTATGTAGAAATAATTTAAGAAGATTTTCTTCAACTCTTTGAAATTACATTCACCAACACTGGAACACTGAGTTTCTAAGAATAAGAATTTCATTGGTGTACATATCAGGCATGTGTTATAAAAATGAACCTTTATTCTTATGAAACTGAATAGTGCATTTTTTCTCTGCTTTAAACTAATAAATAAATAATAACAAAATTACGGCTATATGCATAAAAAGTATCAACTAGTGAAACCGTTACTCGTATTTTTTGTAATACTATTTTTCTTTTATCAGGGACCGGACACTGAGTACACAAGACATGATCTGCCGATCGACCATACATATAAAATGTTTAACTAATATACAATTTTTTAAGATCTGAATTATAAATACTTATTTATAATTAAATAATACATATACTTAAGTTATTGTTAAAGTATTAAACTAATCCTTAACAATAGGTGTATGGTGGAATATAAACAAGATGCCACCTTTGGATTTTTTTTTTTAGAATAAAATATATTTTTCAGTGGGATAGTGATGATTGACAACTAAAAGAAACTTCATATTCACTCTATTTTGGACTGCATTCCACTTTGATTAATATTAAAAATCTGTTAAAACAATTAATGCAATACATAAAATGTGAGTTTGTATTAAATTATTTATTTCTTTTTTTTTTTTTTTTTTAGAAAAGATTAATATATAGAATGACAAAAAAACCCTTTAAGATAAAGGTTTTGTTATATATGTTTCTTTAAATTGTACTCGTGTACTTAAGCTTTGATCATAATCCTTGCAGTTGACAACACAACAAAATATGCCTAGAATTTTTATAAAAATAGAAAAAAAAATTCCCGGTAAATTGTTTCAAAAAAGTGTTTAAATCTTTTATAATTAGTTTTTTTTTTAAATTTTATCCTTATTATTCTAACCGCAGCATATAGTTTAAAAGGATACAATATTGAGTAAAATAATTTATTGAATTTGTGTCTTTTTTTCCCCATAATATTTCAAGATAACCAATTTATAGTAAAATTTTAACATGTTTTTTTATCAGCGTATGATATCAGACAAGGTCACTATATTGCTAGCAAAGAAAAACACATGATTTTAATATATTAAGTACTCCTGTTCATACACACAAGTAAAAGAGCTAACAATATCTTGGGAAAGAATAAACATTTGACCAGTG